GGCAGCATAGATCAAAGGAGTTATGACAGTTTTTGAAGTGGAGAAGGGGTTGCAGGGTGTTGTGAGTCTGGTCATTATATCTTCCTTTTTATTTTTGTCTTTATTTTTGTCTTCTCTTTTTTTTTTCCTTTCCTTTTTTCTCTCTTCTTTCTCTTTCCCTCCCACTCCCCTCTTTATTTTCTCTTATTACCCAGCCCGGTACGACGGCTTGGTCAGCCCGGTAGAAACCGTCAGGGGAGGGGCAGTTTTCCCCCTGCCCCCACCTCTCCGCGCCTGTTACGACACTGGCTAACACGCCAATCATCCCCCCCCCCCCATGAAAAATACTTTTCTACGCCACTGATATCGATGATTTAACTTAATTGACATTAAGTTGATTGTAATTTTCGGTGTATCTTTTCTGTGAAGATTCAAAACTTTATATGTTTTAATCGTAACAAACAACTACATACTGTAATTAATTTAGAAGCCTTGATATCAGTAAATTGCAGTCTGCCGCCCTCTATTTTATTTCCTTCGAGCACTCTCAGCAAAGATCGTATAGCGCCACTAACGTTCAAAATATCATGTGTAGGTTGTTGTTTATTATCTCCATGATTTTTCCGCGTGGAGTTTGTTGTAGCCTAGGCCTCTACACTTTTTTTCATCTCAGATTCTTTTTATTGCTTGAAATGTGAATTTAAAGTGTTCACAACACACAAAATATTGTCCATAGATCACTATATTCAATCAGCAATAATTAGTTACTAATTATGAAGCTTTCCGATCAAGTAATTCGGAATTTTCGAGTGGCAAAGCTTTTCAAGGACCAGAACACAGCCAAAATCAACAGTGTCGATTTTTCACATAACGGTGAAACTTTAATATCGAGTAGTGATGACGATTCGATTGTAATTTATGACTGTCTAGAAGGAAAGTACGTGTAATATATGCTCTCTTTATTTAGACTAAACATTTATGTCGACACGTAATGTGCTAGGCCGCCTTATTTTAGCCCAGGCCGGTAAAATCCGCATTCGAGACCGGCTTGACGCAGCCATTGCCGATTGCTGGAACATGAATATGGTCGAGGGCCTAGGCTAGCCTAACAATATGAGCTGTTGTAACTGGTCTTTGATGTTGAGGTTTACATGTAATGTCCTAGCTATAAATTTTTATATACAGTCTTGACTGCATGAATTGGTATTTTCCAGTCAGTGAGGACCAGGCATATATAATATATAGGCCTAGTTTTATTTACCTGGTCTGGGAAGATTGGAAAAAAAAGCCAAATTAGGATGAAGGTTGCACCTATAGTATACTATAGGTAGCCTAAACAAGCTCTTTATTGTCCATAATTAAAAAAAATAAATAAATTCTTACATTCAAAATGTGATGAAAATCCTCATGTAAAAGTCATGTAATTGTAATTGCTTTTTCAAAAACAGGTAGGCCTAGTAACAAGTTAAATTCATTCAATTGCGTTGGTCTACTGATTTACATGACAAAAGTTACTCCACAGGTGTTGGAATGCATGGGAAAAAATGGGATTTTCTTTGAGTAAAGTTTTTGCAGCGGTTTATAGTTATTTAAGCTTATTTTTTGTAATAATTTGGGGTTGTCAGACAAAAATGCTGTCGGATACCAATTTAGGTTGCCAAAAATTAATTCAATAGTTATAAAGACAAATTTGTAATTATATTGTGGTCTAAGAGTAATTTTTACCATCCAACACCCCCTCCCCTCTATAAAGTCTCTCTCCTTCACTAAGTGGGCTCTTGGTTCGAACCCCTGTTGGACTTGTTAAATCCATTGTTTGCCAAATTAATTTCTAGGGCACCACTGCTTTGAGATAATTTGTTGAATATGTTGAAATAGCCTACAGTATAAAATATATACAGTAGAACATATAAAAATAAAATGTGACATTTTCATATATATTTTTTATTCTCAGACCGAAGAAAACATTATATAGTAAGAAATATGGAGTGGATCTTATACGCTTTACACATGCGCAAAACACATGCATTTACAGTTCTAATAAGATTGACGATACCATCCGCTATTTGTCTTTGCATGACAACAAATTCATCAGATATTTTCCAGGGCATACAAGAAAGTAAGTAGGACTACTGCACTGGACTAATTTACATGTACAGACATACATATTTTTAAAATATTATTTTACATTGTGCATATCTAGCAGAATGAGGGAGCCATTCTATTGGTGCTTTTTAGTTTAGACAATTCCAAACGTTCCAGTCCCTGAAATTTGTGATACATGGGTTGGTTGGTGAATTGCATTGCAACCACTACTCCATCAAGCCAGTCCCATAAATAATTGTAATATTTTGATTTGTTTATCAACAGAGTTGTGAGTTTATCTATGTCACCAATTGATGATAGTTTTCTCTCAAGCTCATTGGACAAAACTATCAGACTATGGGACTTGAGGTCACCGAATTGTCAGGTAAGAATAGTGGTTCATTGATTGTTGTGTAGAGGCTTCTATTTTTATGTTTCCATCAAGAAGCTGGTATAAAAACTCATGTTTTTGTGGAAAGTTGAGTTGTGCAAAAATTATGTGCATTTTTCGAGGATTTGAACCAAGATCTGCAATTCACAATCGGGCACAATTGTACAATGTGGCAGATCAACAGACAGACAAACATGAAATTGAAGAAATCTCCCATAAATATCAATTAAAACTAAAGTATAAATAATCAAAAAGTTAACAAATAACAAGATTTGATGTGCTTGTGTTACAGGGAATGATGCAGTTACAAGGTCGTCCCGTTGCTGCATTTGATCCTGAAGGGCTCATCTTTGCTTGCGGAATAAATTCAGAAATGATAAAATTGTACGACCTCCGATCATTTGATAAGGTAGGTGAATGAATGTGACAATTAATTTTTTTTTAAATAGAAATTAAAATGTAGCCACATATAGAAGTAGTATTATGTTGTATGTTCTTTACAAAAGGTACAAATGATAAGCCTCCTCTTGTGTGTGACAGTATGCTTAATCAGCGGAGCCTGAGCCACGAGATGAGATTTTTTTTATACCTTGTTCATCGAACTCGTTACCCACCAATAATTATAATTTCGAATAAAAATTAAATTTCATTTTTGGCCAATTAGAGCACCCACCGCCACGAAAAGTGGAAATTTCAGTAAAAAAATGAAAGTTTTTCTTTCTTTTTATTATGCCTGCCATTGCCTAGAATTCCATTTGCTAAATTAGAAAAGAAAATTAAGTTTTATTTTTTTTCCGCCCTCCTCTGACGATCTTTAAAGAAACAAGATATAAAAAAATGTCTCGCATAATCAACACAACATAGATACCGGAAGTTGTCTCGACAAAAGTTAGATACATGACCTTTTTTAAATACAGGGACCTTTTACAACGTTTCGTTTACAACAAGACCGGGATTGTGATTGGACAGGCCTCAAGTTCAGCTCAGATGGTAAAATGATTCTGATCTCTACAAATGGACCTGTGATTCGTCTTATAGACGCCTTCTCCGGGCAAGCCTTACAGTCATACATGGTATTGCAGACACTCTTGAATCGATACATAAAAAATACACTTATACTGAGATTATAAATAAATAAAAATGATGATGATGATGATAATGATATTGATGGTGGTGGTGAGAGTGATGGTGGTGGTGATAAAAGTGGCTATTGTGAAGATGGTGATGATGACTAATGACAATTACAATGATAATGATTATAATAATAGATAATATATTGAATTACATTATATAAATTGGTACAGTGTTATATTTTTGTAAGATTCTGTAGATTATCTTTGTGACCCTGGCCATTTTTTTTTTTTTTAAATATTATCTTTTGCTTTTGGATATTGAATTTAATATAGTAATAATAATCATGTAATATTAGAACACAAAGTAAATCAGATATAATGAGACAGCTTAAATTATTAAAAACACTATGTAATGCTGCAAACTTTTGTTTATTTTTGTTTTATTTTAGGGTCATGTGAATCAAAAAGGAATATTATTGGAAGCATCTTTTAGCCCAGATGCTCAATTTGTTTTGTCAGGTAGGTTCACTTTAATGACACAATTATTAAGTACAAATATTGTAATACAGAAAAGGAAAGTACACCAGAATTGGTTTACCCCTCAGCCCAACCAAGATTTCTGCTCTGCAGCACACCTTTACCAACACTGATAGTGGCAGATTCAAGAGGAGGGGCCCAGGTGGCCTGGGGCCCCCATAGATTGTGTCAAAATTATTAAAAAACCATTAGAAAAACAGAAAATTATATTAAAATTTAAGTCTGAGCGTGCCATTTCCGGCCATTTAAATAAATTTTCTTACCTCACTCCCTTCCTTCTACCCCCCTCTATTTTGAATTTCTGGATCCACCACTGCCTGGGTATGCTCTTGTCTTATAAAATAAAATTTATCTATCACAGTACTATTAAGTTAATACATTTGTACAGTATACGTTTTTATCTCAGTGCTACTAAGCATAAAGGAAAGCACACTTTGTTGTGTTTAGTTTCATGGATCCATTGACCTGGTGATTCTGCAAAGAGCTATAAAAAAAGTACAGGCTTACTGTTCCATTATATGTATCCTACCCATATGTGTTGGCCTGTATCTCACCTAATCGTAGCCACACCCTCTCCCACCAATCAGAGAAGTTGTATGAATTTTAATTGATTGGAATAAATTCTTGAAACACCTGTTTATGTTTACATAGGATCTCAGGATGGTAGAGTACATGTTTGGAATGCTGAAAACGGGACCAAGACAGCAGTGCTAGACTCAAGTCACAATGGGGCACCAGTTCACTGTGTCCAGTTCAACCCGAAGTTTTTAATGTTAGCCACATCATCACAGTCAATGGTAAGAGCATTGTAGGACCCCTAATAGAATAGTGTTGTGTTAGTGGTGGTTGTGGAATGATACAATCAAAAAGCTAGCATAAACGCCCATAATTGTCTCCATAATCTTGATTTTCTTTCCTTTTCAGTCTTTCTGGCTACCAAATATTGATGAGTGAAAATTACTATGCTACCAATCTAATAAGGATTCAAACAATGGAATAATATAAAATATTTGTATGAAAATGTCACTACATGTGGAGTATTTTGTGTATAATAGAGAGGATCTGATACATCTTTACGCAGCCTAGTATTTCCAGAAGGAAGTGAGTGCAGAGACTTAGATCCCAGTCGTTTCACAAAGAATTGATGGCAAAGGATTAGTTTCAAGTATTTTGGCAAGCATAGCTTGTTACTAAGGAAGTGCAGAGGTGTAAATTAAATAGAAAAATGTAGACAGTGTAAGCAGGTTAGGACTACAGTCCTGTATTTAAATTATCCAACAGGTGCTACTGAGCTTTGTAAAATTGGGGAAAAAAAATTAAACTCTCTATCTCCCTGGAAAAAAATACCAATGATATTACAATACCAGATGATTTTATTAGTGATATTAAATACAACATGAACTTTCTTGTTGTAAATGTTAATATCTTATCTGGAACTATTTTTCTGAATTTGTAATTTAAATATTGGATTAGCCTGCTTATGGTTTGTCTTTCTATTTTTTGACTGGCTCAAAATTGAATAATTATTGCTTCGTATGTTGAAAATAAGCACTCTATTCAGCTTTGTAGTACATATCTTCAATTCTCGCCAACAGAAAGAATGAAGTTATAACAGGTTGTAGGAAAAGTGTGGCAGGTACCAAAATAATGATAATGTTATAAGGCTACCTTGTAGTGTATGCTCTCCTCCCCTCCCCACAAGCCATATACAGTATTATGCAAATTAGTTCTTCTGGTACACTAGAAGCCCTCCTACCAGCACGATGTGGATTTAAAAAAGGTCGCAAGACAGGGTCACGATTTCCAATATATATCGCAGCTACAAATTATTTTTGACAGTCAAATAAGAGGCGTTCCTTTCCTTTTTTAGCATGGAAGAATTATCTAATTACTACTGTTATTTATTGTTTCATTACAGTAGCTGAACTACAGATATAATGGAAAAGTGGTGTTTGTAGAGATAAATCAGCACTGTATGTTAAATATGCCCAGAACGGCAAAATGTAGTAAATAATTTTAATCCATAAATTTAGCACATTATAATTTTATTGCGGTTATAGTACATCGATTTGCACATAAATTTGTCCAAAAAAATGTTTTCTACATTTTTGTTATGTTTATTGAACTGTTTTGTAATTGTTTGTGATACTGATAGTTATAATTATTTTTTTATTCTTAGAAGTCATTGTTATATTTAATTTATATATGATACACTGAACTAAAATGATGATGTTTAATATTACCTTGGAAAGTTGAATACCGCCCTCTATAAATAGCACTTTTAAAAGAATTGATACCAACATTGGTTGGCACACTACACTTTCAATACTGGAAAAATCTAATCGAAATGTTTTTTGATGCAGGTTATAATGATCTTAAAAATGTCTAAGCTAGAAAATTTTTAATGATTAATGTTGCTATATACAGTACATTGATAAGTAAAGTATTTGTTGATTCCCCAAAAATACATGATGCCAGTAATTTTGAATAAATATACATGATGCTGGTGAATTATTCACAGGTCCCAAAAATACATGATGCCAGTAATTTTGACTAAATATATATGATGCTAGTTAAATTATTCACAAGTATTAATTGATGCAGATGTGCTAAATATAATGATTTGTCCATATAATTCAAAATTTAATTCTCAGTATGACAATGACGTGAATTTAGTTGTGGTTTCTCCCTTTTATACGTAACCTGTTGCCACCTTTGTATCAAAGGAATTGTACTAATAGTAAGTAGAAATGTAAATAAAAATTTGTATCTTAACAATTTTGTTGAGTGGTCTAAATTATTGATTATTCCAATTTGATTTCATTCTCATTTTAACTAAATATCTCATTACTTAAAATTTAGATTACAACTACAATTTTGAAATGGGACAGGACTTCATGGGGATACTAGGGTTATGTATGGAACTAACTCTTTGTAAATGTTACGATCAGCAAATTTTCACTGGGAACAGATGGCGGTGGTGGGGTGGGGTGTTTGGAGCTTTGCTAGGGAATGCCATTGATCTAATTATGAGGCCCAGGAAGTGGTGTCAGTTCTACAGCCAGAAAAAAACTGGGGGTGGAAAAAAACTTAATGACCAGGGGTGGATCCAGGAATTCAAAATAGAGGGGTCCCAGGGATGGACTTTCACAGATATACAGAACACAAATTATATAATTATTGGATAAATATTTATCTGTACTCTATACTCTCCAAGTTCACACAAGTTTTGAAAACTGCAATATTAATGATGATACTGTATTTAAGAAGAAGCACAAGAACAGAATCCACAATAAACAAAACTGTTATAATTTCATGAATACAAATAAATTTAATGCAGCATGTGAATCCAAGACCGCATTAACAATTAAAAAAGTTTCAAAAAATCACCAACATCCATTAAATAAGATTTGTTTTTGGAAGTCTTGCTTGGTACAGTCATCTTAACCAAATGTTTGTAGAAACGTTTGCAAAATAAATCCTTTGGAACGTTCACTGATTAAATACATGCGACCTGCTCGACGTGACCTAGACCTCTACAGCCCAGCTATTTGTAGAGTGTTTTCCAAGGAGATATTGCAATTTTTTTTACATCACAAAATCAATTAAAGAATTTAAGATATACTATATATTGAAAGAGCAGGTCCCATAAATATTTGGCTTTGATTTGTTCAAACACACTAAGATGTTTTTTGATACTTTTTTAAAACAACTTTATAAATTTAAATAATTCATAAAATAAATTAAATCTATTGATATATATTTTTGAACTGAATTAAAAATAATTATATAAATTATATAAATATCTAAAATACAAAATTGCATGATTCTAAAAATGTATCAATGAAAAACATCAGTATTTAATAAATTCAATATAAATTTAATAAAAGATAATTTTGCTATTAGATCATATTTCCATTATTAACATTAATTTACTTTGTATAAATATTATTAATGGAAACATTAATATTATATATTTATATATATATGTTATTTAATTGATATTAATTGTAGAATTTACTCTATTATAATTATTAAAGCAAAATAACATAAACTAAAATCTAATTATATAATTAACATAATATAACAAATTTATGTTGGTAAATATAACAAATTAGTATGAACACTACAGTAATAACACCACCTATAGTACTCTACATACCATAATCTTGACATGAAATTTCAGTAATTCCTATAAAATATTTTACACACAAATTTACAAAATGTTTTCAATTAACACATATTTCATATAGAAATAATAAATGATTCTATTCTACAAATATCTTAATATAAGAAGCTATGACAATATACAAATCTTAATTGTATGACAAGAATCTACGCTGATTATAAACTGAGTTTAAATGTTTAGTTCGTAATAGTGTTGCACAGTATTTTCTTTGCAAATTTCTTAGTGCTAAATATACAGTTTAATTCTACATTCTTTTGGTTGTGAGTTGGTCCTTATAGTTTCATATAGACATTTCATATTTGCAATTTATTGGAAGTTATTTCCAAATTCTAATTACATTTCTCATTATAACTAAGAAATATTGACTAATAGAATTCCATTAATAAACACAATAAAATATTCATTAGTAGATTCTGGTGGGAATTTCTTATCGTTCAACGGCCACATATATGCTATCTAAACAAAGCACACAGACGATATAGAACTTAAGTCTTTAGGAGCATTGCAAACATGTATTTCTTTGCTTTCCTACTGCAACTTATATTCTTAAACACAAATAAAGATTTAATTTAAAATCTTGATGTATAGACTAACCAATTGAAAACAGTGGGCTCACAAATTTTCATAAGTTTGGTTGTTGGCTTATTTCTGGGTAGAAAATTATGCATGAAACTTCTTGAAAAGCGTGGGTGATGGGCTTGTACTTCGGAGGAGGTTGGGCTTATAACTAGGGTATCTAAATTTTGCCCTACATATAAGTGACTTTAGCTCAGCTGCATTCATAGCGAGGTAGTAATTACAAATTTTAGTGGTGGAAGTGCTACAGTATTTTAATCTTAATATAAAGCCACATGCCTAGTATCAAATTTTCATTGGTCAATCCTTTGTCATTCAAATTTTGTGCTTCAGTACATCACTTAATGCTTGTTGTAAGAATGTGATATTGAACTAAGCTGTTTCCGCAAACAGAATTTGGCCTTGCACATGAAAAAAAATGATAGATAATTCAATAAGGCCACTACTGTATTTTTTTTCGTGGAACCAGCATTTATCTAGTTTTGAAAAACTCGACAGAAAACTGTCATGGAGTATGTAATGGATTATCACATTTTCTAGAAGTTGTATAATATGTATAATACATCTGGAAATAATATAATTTAAAATAATATACTGACCTAATTTTAATTTAACCATGCCTATAATTAAATACAATCTAATACAGTGAGGTGTATTTGGCAAGTTGGATGTTATTTTTTGGAGCACAGTGTCAAGAATTTTAACTTCCCTGCAGTGGCGTAGGTGCGAAAGGGCCCCAGTACAAGATTAACTGCTGGGCCCTTTGCTGTGATAGGGGAATTCCCTAAAGTTTTTTTTCCGAAAATTCTTTGTAAGAGTTGCTTCTTTTACCCCCTACTCCTAAAGCCCTAGGTTAGTAATAAATACTAATGATAATCAGATTTTTAACTATTTTAAGAGGGGCATATTCGGTCTCAGCAGCTGTTCTAAACTAATCAAGAAAATTGGTGGCACATAAAATTTAACATTTTTGCAGTGGCGGATTAGTGAATTCGAAATATAGCGGGCCAAGGAGGGATTTTTACAGGCAGACCACCTCAGCTCCACTATAGTTGGGGCTGAGGTAAAAACATTTATGATTATAGCACCTCTAGATGGCTAGAAATGGCACTCTCAGACTTTATAATGAATATAATTTCCTTTTTACCCCTTTTTTGAATACACCACTTAATTGAAATCAACACAGTACTCAATAATTACTCTTCTTAAAAGCTGAATATTACTAAGGTGCCTGCTGGCCATTTTTTTCTTCACAATTAAGTTGAAAATTATTTTAAATTATTATTTTTAGGTCTATATATGAATGGGCCTCTAATAGCTTTGCACTAGCTGCACCACCCGTAACTATGCCACCGATTCCCGGTTTCCCCGCTAAAATCACCAAAAATGGTTTACTATATTTTAAGCATTCTTCTGAATAATATGTAACAGTGTCTACTGAACGATAAAATCCAACTATATATTATACTATACAATTTAAAAGAGGAATAAAACCCTATTTCAGAAGAATACTGGTATCCAGTGGTCCATTCCCACTGCATGCCAATGCATATTGGGAACAAGTTACTGTATAGTACAGTAAACTCTGTGCCTGATACTCTATGTATTCTAAAAAGAACCACTGGTTTTTGGGAAAATTTTTGTACAGACTGTTTTAACTAGAGGTAGAAAAGAAACTTCCAGGTGTAAACTACAACTGTTCTACCACAGGTACAGTGCTGCTATACACAATATGGATGAGAACAAATGAATTTCCTCTCCCCTTTTGGTTATCGTGAGTTTATAGGAACATAAAATAATAAGATGTGCTATAGGAATAGCAATATTTGGAGGAATTATTTGTGAGCCCTCAAAAATATAGCAATGGAGCTGCATTAACACTTTCTACAAACATTGTAACCAACAACTAATTCTTTTAAAGCACAAAGAATGATTAATTATGCACATGGAGCACTGAAAAAAATGATTTAAGATACTACTAATCATTTTTATTTTAATGAGGCGATGACATTTTCATTCCTAAAACACATAGAATACTTGACTAACAACTTGTATTGAATACAGTATAGCTAAAATTCTTTGGAAATTCTACAAACTTAGTTGGCATTAAAATACCAACAAAACACCTGTCTTTTTTTATTCTTATCAACCATACATAACATTAAAAAACACCCTACGCATTCATCAGAAAATATTCGCTGTAATGCATTTTTCTAGATTGTTCAGTTTAATATATTAGTACATAACATTCATGCAAATATATAGAAAATTGCACACGTTAGATCCATTTTATAAAAAACAAACATGCAACATATAAAACACTTTATATTCACCAACAATTTTCTTTTCAATTTATATTACATAACTATACAATCTATGAAAACAATTTCGAACTGTGAACCTATTCCACAGCAAAAATGATGTAGTTTCTTATATTGCAAAACCAATGTTTCATTAATATATATAACATTTTAATTTGTTTTCTTCGATAATTTTGAGAAAATGCAAGGCCCCTAAACTTTGGCGTTGAACTCTAACATTAAAAAAATAATAAAATAGTGAAAGTGATAAGAAACAGTATATTACATTCTAATCCTAAACAACTCCTTGGCTATGAATATTTTTTATTACTTGAATGACAGCTTTTTCCTCATAAAATACATGTTTAATGCAACCGACCTTGGTCCCCTTTTGGAAAGTCAAAAAAAAAAAATAAGAAAAAAAAAAGAATTATGTGTTGTCTCAATTGGCCCCCACCTCCTTCTGGACACCTCCAGATCCGCCCCTCAGCAGCACAATCATAAGTCAAAATATAGAGAATCTAGGGTTCATTTTACTCCTGCAAAACTCCTTTAATCATATTTTTTGTATAGGAAACTGTAGGAAAATAGTTATGTGGCCATTATATAATAAAATCAATAAGAAATCATAGATTCACTCCTTGCATAAAATACTGCAGTATGACAAAAACTATTTTTGAAAAATAAATTAAATTTTGTTTCCAAATCATGTTCCAAGGCTGTCAAATTTCAATGCTATTATGTTTGAAGACTGAATGAAATTATGTCATTTATTTGGAATTGCAATTGATATTAATGTATACCCTTCGCAATCTCTCGCCATTCCAAAATTAAATAAAAACCATACTACATTTCCAAACCCCAACCAGCAAATTTAGTTATACTAAAAACTTTTGGATGGCTTATGAATATAATAACTTCATAAAATAATGGATAAAAAACAGGTGCGGAGTATAAAGCATAAAAATGATGTTAATTTGATCTGGTATTATCGGATCAGCAATTTGAATTTTGAACTTGATTTTGAATTATGATAACCTGTGTCAGGGCTAAAGATGATGTTCATGAAAGACATGTATGTTTATGTACACTGAAACAGTGAAGGTTATAATATTTACAGATTTTATATACATTAAAATGGGCTCACATTTAAGTAATATCACATGACAACATGGGACTCTGTATTTCAGTTAGAGTATACTAAAGTAGGATACACTAAATCAGGGTACTGTGGGTGTTTCAAACTAATTTTGTTCCCATATTGGAGTAAATTTAACTGTGTTTGTAGAGGTACCAAGTTCATTGACCTTTCTGGGGTGTCAATCAAACTAAACAACTGACCAACCAATCAGAACAGGGCCATGAATATTCATGTGTCTAACAAACACATGTGTTGTCCCATCAATGCACATGTTTGCATATTATGTTTTAACACCTTAGCAACAATTTTCAAGGGGGCGGCCTTATCAGAAATTCCATTATGAAATGCTGATGTAAATCACATTATTTGAAGGACATAGCACAGGCAGACATGAAGCCCTTCGATTAAAATGCGATACATTAAAAAACAATTTTTTTTTTTTTTACAACATAATTTAAACTGTTCCAATAAAGCGGTTCGGTGCAGCGAGAACGGTTTGGTTTCCCAACCTCGAGGTCGGGGGTTTCAATCCCTCGCTGTGAATTTCGCTTGTGTCCTTGCGCAAGACACTTTATCTGCATTGCTTCTGTTCACCCAGGAGTAAATGGGTACCTGGTGGGGTTGCCTGCTCCTGCGCTGATTACCAGCATCAACACTTAGCATGTGGACTCAATGACCAGGGAAAAGAACTGCACTTTACAACCGCAAGGAAGAGGCGCATTATAAATGCCCATACCAGTACCAGAACCAGCATAAGTCCTGTTCATACTGAAATTATAGGGTCAAACCAAGCACGTACCTGTTCAGTTTGACAAAAGATATTTATTTATATATTTATTTATTTATTTCATTTTCTTTCAGTAGGGTAGCCCTTTCAGTAATACCACTGCTCATCCGGGGGGCCCTGTGACACATTAAAACTTGTACAATCAAAACAACTTTACTCCTCTAACTAAAAGCATATTCTTTTTTTATTTTTTAACAATATCCAGTATTCTCCTCAGTCTAACTACCTAAGATGTAAGTGAGTTTAACCAGGGAGTTGCTATAGTGGTTTACAGAGCGATTGTTGCCCCAGGAAGAATAACTAGGCTGTTTTCAGGAGCACGAAAGCCTATTGCGAACAAATCTTTGCAAGTGCATGCTAATGCTGGTCACAACTTTTCATAAAATATATCCACGATTAGACTGGCCACGCATGGGCAAAATCTACCTTAAAACCTACACTGCATATTGCATATGCAAGTGTGAACAGCAATACAATTTGGTCAAACTAGGTTTACCCTTGATCTTGGTCAAAGTTAATGCCATGTGAACACAGTTTAAGACAGTATGGACCAAACCATGCCAAACAATCATTAAATGACTTTCTTTTCCATGGTTTCAGCTACTCTCTTAAACTTTTTGTTGGACCCTATTAGTTAAACAAAAACAAAAAATTGATCAAACAAAAAACTCCAGATAAGATAACCACTTAAATGTTGACCGCATCGTGTGATTCAGTGAGACTGTTCTGCGGTGATAACACACTGTGTCTGTACAGTGGTATAACCATCGCTGTGATGTCATCTCCCGAGGCCAGGGCGTTGGACTTGGTCCGCCACCCGTTTTCTCGCAGAATACCTCTTGAAGCCATGACTAGGTCCTGGGCTGCAGACGTGTACCTAAAATGACAAAAGTGAATTCTGGTTGAGTTTGTGACATAATGCAGGTAAATTTACTTTGATTAGCCAGGAAGTGTGTATTTTTGTAACAAGAAAGAGTTTTTTTAATCAAGAGTTTTGTTAACAAAAACAAAGGGAAAATTAACCTCAGTAAAGCCATGCAGGAATTCTCTTTACTCAAGAGATATAAGTACCTACTCAACCTCAATCTCACTCACAGTTCGAAAAGTCTTTTCTAAGTCACATTAAATAAAACTCTCTTTCTTTTTGTAATTACCAATACCCATTTTTCCCCTCACAAACTTGGTATTTGGGGGAAACTCTTGAAGATAGAAATAAAAGGGTCCACTCAAGGGATGTTTATCTGACATTTTTATCTTTTCTTTCACTTTTATTTAAAAAACACTGGCATAAAAATGTCTTAAATAGGTCTGCAGAATCAAATTGATGGATTATTAGAACCTCAGAAAAGCCTCGAAAACATATATTAAATGTCAAATTAACAGCTGCAGCTCTGTGATCAAAAACAGACTGGGATTGAGATCCATATTTGCAGTTACACAAAAATGGAAAAAAAATCATGAAAAATGAAAAGAATATATTATTATAAATGTATAGACAGCAAATGTAAACTCACGATAAAATATACGAAGACTCCCACAACAAAAAGTGAAGGGGGGTGGGGGTGGATGGCAATTTTACTCTAAATTTTTTTCTCATAATACGACGGTCACATGTTACAAATGTTTTTACTGTACATTTTATCTGTTCAACATCCAGATGTCCTTATCAGAAAAACAAAGTTGTGTAAAGTTTGCAGGATAGACGCCACCCATTCGTGACTAAGTACGGCATCTGTTCGATTAAGCCATTATCTCCCGCGCTAGAACGCAACCAATTAAATGTAAACAATATGGTTGTATATATATTACATTATTTTGAATGTCTGGATTTAAGCAATACTCAGACAAGTCAAAAATACATAAGTTTATATTAATTAAAATCAAATTAGTTTAAATTAATTGGGTGTATGAGCCATATGGTGATGTTCAAGAACAGGAGAATTCAATTAAAACACTAATTTCTTGTCTATCCTTGTTAAAGCAGCAACCATTAATCCTGAGAAAATTAATTGTGCTCGTCCAAATGTTTCCCCTTAATTTTCGATCTGCATTGGCAATTAAATTCTAATATTTTCCTTGCTAATTAGCAGATGTATAAAACTGTTCCGATATTCATCATACATTCGTATGTACAGACGTATGTACTATGTCACGTAGGTATGTACTTTTGTTTGTTCTTTCTTTCGTTCATTTATTTATTTTATCTTGGTTTGGAAGCTCGTTCCAGGCCTTAGTTGAACGGTACACAAATGTTCTCTTGCTTTGAAAAAGCTTCCATTTTCTTTACAGAGAATTAGGAAAATTTGGTATTTTAAGTTTTCTACATTTTTTCACACAGACATTATATTTTTAACTTGTAAAATCATGTTTCAAGTAGTGCAAATACTGTCTCTTATACACATCTAGATGTGTATAATAACTTTAAATTCGGCGATCATTCTTTAGGTCAAAATGTATAGATGGTTACGAGTCGCATACAGCACATGGCGGAAGTGGACTGTGTCAGGATGTTTACTTTCGAACATAAATGGCTTACATTAAATTATCGCAATATTTTCATCTGTTCTGTTTGTGATTCACACTGAATTATTTTCAGGCTTCCCTTCATGATATTGTAGAATGTCTTTCATATTGCAGTTAAGTATACAGTATTGTGATTAGTGAATGAAGTGGTTGTAGATTGAGCTCTCAGTCTGGTAGGAGTACCTGGCACGTATACGACGTCTATGTGCAGGACTAAGTACACCGCCTACGGAGAGAAGGTTGACTATGTCCCCATTTTCGAACTTATACATTTAAAATGAGTTGCATAACTCTCCCAAAGAATACATTGGATTTGATAGGTCTGATTTGCTAATAAAGTCTGTGAGATTTAAGTCGGGCACACACTAAGTTGTATATATCCGCTGCCTGTGAGTGCTAACAACGCGATGCGATGCCGTCTGCTGATTACCGGTGGCAGTCTGAGTGGATCGTTTTTAAAAACCATCTGATGCATGCGCGTTGTAGTGTTGCATTCACCATAGAATCACGTCGGCCAACGACTTTCGGGCACAGTGAGTGGCCGGATTTTTATAACCATTTTTCAGGTGTATTTACATTGTACAGGAGAGTTGAAATGAAGATTAATAACAGGTGTGCAATTTTATCCCATCCAACTGATGAGACATGCACCCAGCAGGTGTAGAAATGCACGACCCTGCGGGTAGGCTACGGTCATCCGACCAATATGATGATTAGTCACTAAAGCTTAATAGTAAATACTGTTAATGAACTTTGGTCTAAATGGTCAGTGTGTGTATGGGTGAAAACATTGCTACACACAGTGCATATCGTTTTAAGTGACATGCCTAAATATGGTCACGATGACATCACATCATGACCATATATAGGCACATCATGACTATATATGGGCATACAACAGTTTTTTGTCAAAGAAAATTTGATAATTTAGACAGATCTTAACACAAGCATACAGTATGAGTACTAAGATGACAACAACTTAAGTCACATTTCGATTTAAAATCATGTGATCAAGATTCTTTTCCTACTTTTAAGGTATTGTCAATGGCTGAGTGTTGTCTCTCTTTTCAGTCAATATCTTATCATATCACCATCGTTGTCGCTGCGGTTCATTACATATATCTTGCCAGATTAACCATACTGACCACTGATCGAACATTAAATCGCTGCAGCGTAATGGTCATCAGTCAATTAGGGTCAGGTATTTGCATTACAATTTGATTGATTCTTTCAACAAACACACCCACAAGCAAAGTACCTCAAAGGTAGAAGTGGCTTTGGTGAGCTTTAAAGGGACACTATATTGGCAATGATTTATTTGAAGTGCAAATATCTGTTTATGGCTTTTCTAGTGATAATAAAATAGTACTAATTGCGTAAAAAGATATTTGGGTTGGGCTGATGGGGAACCATGGTAAGAAAAGAGGAGAGCCATACCTAGTAGTGAATTTGGAAAACATTTTTTCTTTTCTAATTTAAAATTAAAGGTAAAGGTAGAAGAATAACCCATAAAGGCACCGTTGTGCTGAATTGGGGCGGTTCACGACTACTTTAGCAACCATAGAGAGGTGCCTAGTAGTTTCATGTTCACATCATTCCACAATAAAATGAACCATATAATTGGGGTAATCCCCTACTCTTCCAAAAAATGTGGTCACACAAGCCAGATATGTACCCTGGACTTCCCTTTTAAGTCCTACCCGAGAAGGCTGGATGATAAGCCACTCAAACCAGTGCCAATGTTAAGGCAGTAGTTTGCGATGCACCCTTGCCACTTAGATATTCTTCTCACTAATAACTTCATGGTGTAACATTTACAATCACATACACACACATATATATACATCAAGTGCATTACAATGCTTCTTAATCTGCTAGGCATAGTATCCAAATACGAATTACCCCCTCTAGGTGAGCAAGGATTTTTAGTTGTTAATGCTATGCTACCTGGAACACAAGTCCTGTGAGTTTTAAGTTAGGGTCTGTGTGTACATAATGAGGTGAGTCACTAACCACAGGTATTTATTCCAGTGATTGTGGTTATTACTCAGATGGGATATTTGTAACAAGAATACTAATGCGGTCTAATGTGACTCAATTTGAACATTTACACTGTAAAGAGGTGTACAGTAGTAGTACAGTATTTGAAAAACAAAATATTAATATTCTATATCAGAAATGTTATTATGTATATAATATTTAATATATATGTATGTATGTATATATATACATACATATATGTTAACGGCTACCTTGATTTATATTTCAGTGTATGCTATTATTTGTTTCTAGCCGTACTTATTGTGTAATGGAGTGTATCTGGTGGTATTTGAATCTGTTTAACCATGAAGCCTCCGTGGTCTAATGGCTATGACGCTCGCCTTGACAGCGAGAGGTCGCAGGTTCGAGTCCCGCCAGAGGAATTTTTATTACACAATTTCTTTATTCATTTATTTACAGGACTACATTTGTTGCGAGCTATGCTACACGATTTATTATTATGTCCTTTATTCGAACACTGTATTTACCTTTCTTTGATAATTTATGTATATAATTTAACAGTGTTAACGGCTACCTTGATTTATATTTCAGTGTATGCTATATATATATAATGCATTAAATATTACAGTTGTTATAAACAATCACAGAAGACTTGATATATCCCATATAAGCTCACTTTCCTGATTTAACTTAACTAAGTTTCCTGAGTTTGGAATTTGTCTCCTGTTTGAAAAAAATCATGCCATGATTTCTCCAAGGTTCTCTCAATTAGAAAGAAAAATGGCTTCCCAAAATACATATTATGTTTTTTTTCAATAAGACTAAAAACAGTATCTGAAATTCTGAAATTTAATCAGGTTTATTTAATTTGTTAGTATTCTGTACAATAAAGCAGAGATATGAATAAAAGGCTTAAAAGGAGTGAGGGTGTATATCCTTAAAAGATTCATTGGAAAGTTTGAACAAACTTTGTTGAGTCTGAGAAAAAGTTTAATCAAATAAAAATAGGAATACAGATATATTCTACATAAAGCGATAATAAACTAAAATTTGCAGTTAAAAAATGTATTGCTTACCTGTTATGGTCATTCCTTGAAAATGATTCCAAAGATTTTGAAACTATTCTCCCAGCATCCTCTATGGTTAATACATCCCACAATCCATCAGATGCTAAGATAAGTACATCGTTCTCTGTGTGGTCATGTTCTCCAAGATCATAAATATTGACCTGAATGAAAAAGAACATTTACAATTTTTTATTGTTAGCTTTTGTAATCTTCAAGATGTATTGTCCCCTGAAAATAAAAAAAATCCTTAAAAAAATAATTTTGGATCTACAGCAACTTGCTTATGTTGCAGTACTCGAGCATAGAAATTACTGAATTTAAAAAATGTATAACCTGATTTTTATACTGGATAATGATAATAATAATAAATACACAGTGACTTCACTTTTCGCTGTAAAATTATGGTTAAACAATTTTTAAATACACTAATTTCTATGTTGAAGTTGATAATTTTTATTTTCAAAATGTCAAAGTTCATTTTAAAAATTATTTTTATGATTGAATTTGGTATTTTTCATGGGACAATACATCTTTAACAATTTTTACTATATTGATGATAAATAAAAGTAAATGCCAAGACATATTAACCAATATTTAGTATTACCTGAGGCATTGAAGATAGAAATGGCTTGACCATAATATCTGTACCGTGTACTTTCAGATCGTGATCACCGAGCCCGCGGGATACCCCAATCGTGGCTAGCACACGCGCCTTCTTCCCGTCTCCATATACTAAGGGAAATTTAAGATCATCCTCTTCAATTGTTTTGTAGGCCCTGCAAATAGAAAGGCAAATATTAATTATGAATTTACCATCCTGAAATATATGTTATTTTCCCTTAAGATCTAGTAATAAAAATGAACCAATTATTAATGTTTGAAAATAATTATAATTCTCATTACACTCTCATTTTTCCAATTACACAGTGGAAGTAAATTGTACATTTATTGCTCTCAAAATCATCATAAACAAGCATTGGCTGATATTTCACTATCGAAATATAATATGTATCATATACATACATACGTTGTGTCTGGTGGGAATTGAACATACTCTTTAGGATCAATGTAAGTGTCATACCACAAGACCTAATTTGAATTTTATTTATATATATAATGTATGCATGCTGACTCAGATAAAGACCACAGTCAGTGTCTTCTTTTCTTCGGAAAAGAGTAGGGGATTGTCTCCCGGTGTACTGCCCAATTCACTACCAGAAGGATCCCACTGGAAATAAGTTTTCTTCTACACTTTCGTGGGTTATCGTTGGTGTTTACGCTGAATAAATCCATCCATCTATTAACATTGGATGGAAGACACTAAATAGGAGGGGATAGTTACTCTTTTATGATGATAAACAACATATGAAAAATATTGATTAAAGTTTAAAAGTGAAAACAATAGAAAGCTACTGTCTTTCGCAAGCACAGGAGAATCAGAAACAAAAGCGATCAAGTTAAATTAAGAAATTAAAGAGAAACACGGGACAGTTTTAATCACACTAAAAACAACCTATTCTAACAAAGCATGTCACGATATTTACAAAACAACATTTTCATACATACATGTTAAACTGATTAAAAATCTGATGTAACAATGCAGTTTAGGGACAAAATTGAAATTGATTCAATGAGAATAACATTTTTGCTAGCAACAAAAATGCAATTTCTACTACAAAATAATACACATTGGCATTTGGCCAGTAAAATTCACCTCTGCTTTAAGCTATTGGCACAAAAAAAGTTCAACTTTCAGTATGGCATTATTAATTATAGCAGAATTTTAATATAATTTTTCAGCCAAACAGATTAAGAATTGATGAATTGAATTGGTTAGGTAAATTAATTTCAATAAAAATATATTGCCAGGGTGGCCTAAGCATGTATAACTTATCTCCCTTAGGTCCTGGGTAAAGACACAAACAAAAAATGAATCCTTATACAGAGACCATAATAAACTTTAAAAAAAAAAAAAAAATTTCACATTTTAAATTGCTATGTGATACTTTTTTTTATACATGTTTAGCAAAATGTTAATAGATCTTCAGACGAGAGATTATTTAGCAAAATAACAATACAATTTTATTTATTGAAAAATATAAAACAACGCAAGGACTTGAGATTTTATATAACTAAGGTCACCCTTCAGCCTTCACTTGTATGTGGTATAAGTGTATAGTTTAAAGAATGTGATGTGGCAATGTAAAGATACCAAGGGGATGAATTTTTTTCCCAGAAAACTAATACTGTACCTGTAAACTTTAATACAGTTTGCCCTCCAATTTGCGACCTACACTAGAACCTGAAAATTTGGGGTGGTCTCAGGGTTCGGTTTTTGGGTTCTTTGATAAAGTGGGCTCTTGGAATTAGGGGGTCTTGGATTGCCCCATGCGGCCTCACAGCGATATTTTGCAGCCCGCGAAAAAAGCCCTATGTGTGCGGCCCGCCAAGCAACATTGGCTAGAAAACACATTGTTTTTTAAGGCCCGACACCTATCACATGTAAAAAGTAAAATAAAGGTCGCTGGAAACACCACAGTTTCGGGTGCGGCCCTTTGTGTTCGAAAATTCCCTTTGGCCCTCCAACCGATTTTAATGCCCACCCCTGATATATATCAAAGTAACCAATTCAATATTAAATTTTTTAGTTAAAAAATGTATTATCTCAGCAGAAAGCACTTGATTTTTTGTAGTACCATTAATTCACTGTTAAGTGACTCAATTTATTTATTAAATTATGTATTAGATTTGTAATTATGATGTTCATGGTTTCAAATTTCATTTTATCTTGTAATTATGACAATAAAGTTTTATCTTATCTATTATTAGGTCACATCTTAGTTTCTATTTAACTTAATTTATTATCCTACAGTTATATTTACTTTCATGTTTTTAATACCTGAATAATTATGTTAATTAGGGCCTAGCAGATTTTATTCACACTCTAAACCATATTTTTGTCTGAGCAATCTAGTCAGCAATTAATATTTGTTGGGATACTTTCCGTCCGCTTTGACGGTCTTTGGTTTTTTGGCTTTTCTCATGTTAGGAGCTTTGCTAACCACTGCCTTATTAAACGTCAACTGACCAAATACATTATAACCCAAATAGTTTGATTTTTACATTTTTCTAGCGCATAGGTCTACAATGTGCTTTTTCGAAATAATGACGTTGAGGCATTTTAAATTGGAATTCCCAAGGCACTTTTAGTCTTAAAAATATGGTGCCATAAGTACATTTATGACAAAAAATAAATTCTTACAATAAAAACTGCAGTATTTTTGCGTAAGTGTTCATAGAAAACTACAGTTTTTGGTACTGCCGATGGAAAACAGCTGCTCTTTTTTGCACTGTGGCAGTGCCGATACAAACCAGCAGCTTATTCACACTACGGCAGTGCCGATAGAAAACAGTGGCTTAATTCGCACTGCAGCAGTGCCGATAGCCACTACCATTCATAAAAACCTTAATATATTATATAGTTCAAGCTTTCATGTAGATAAGTATTTTATTAAATTTGTAGCAATGTTGTAATAATAATTAGATTGTGGATGCAACAATGTACTAAAGCTTAAAAAATTGGTTGGGTTTGTATCAGCCTTGCCCATGAGGTTATGATCTATGGATTGAAATGGAGAGTGAAGTGCTTAACCAGAAGGAAAGGCCACATAAAACTATCAATGTATGACATCCGGAAAAAAAAACCCCTGAATGATATCACAATAAAAAAAAGGTTTGCTGTAATACAATTCAAATTTATTCTGTAGCTGTGACTTAATGATTATGTGGTGAAACTTCCCAATTCAAGGGTGGTTGTTCAAATCCAGGACAAGGAAATTTCTGACAGTGAAAATGGGCGGGGGAAACACATGCCTCCGTCCCCTCTGATCTGCCGCTGCAGAAGTCAAGTTAAGTTGAACTTTGTGCTAATGAATTGTAATTAGGTAGCCAGCAAAAATTAATGAGTTACAGGCTTATTATTCTTTTTTTTTCTTAGAGTAATTATGTTATTTTCCCCTTGTGATTAAGTCATATATTATTGTCATAAAATATGAATTGCATTTTTTAAAATGTCAGTTGTATAGTTTTTCTACAGAGATTACATTACATTTTATATATATATATATATATACTGTCTCTTATACACATCTAACGTCAACTGACCAAATACATTATAACCCAAATAGTTTGATTTTTACATTTTTCTAGCGCATTTCTGTAATACTAAGACTTCCCCCTGTCAATTACAAGTAGGCCAGAGGAGGAAAACATCCCGTTTCTCATCTGGGCTTAGGAAAAAGAGGAGGATGGCTTAACAACACATATACTGTAGAATAGGCCCGACATTACGTACACATGTACTTTATTTTATTATTTTCTTATAATTATGAGGCATGCTATCCTAATACCAGTGTACTGTCACTATATACCAAGCTGAGTAATTAACATAAGAATTTTGGCAGTATTTGATACTTTATTACAGCCAAGGTGTAATTCCTATTCTCATTACTTTGACAATAAGACATCGATTCCAGTAAATGACCCATCATTTTAGAGCTTATATTAAAAAGTCTATTTTCTTGATTCAGTCATGGATGCTGGTTCTGGGATGGCATAACCCATATTGTTTTATTGTGGCATGATTTGAACTCACAACATTGGGTTTGGAAGTGTAGCACTTTAACTAGTAAGTCACAACTTTATATATCTATTTTTGTTTCTTAATATTTGTATATCAGATTTAATTCAATTTTTAAGTAACAAACAATCTTAATTTATACAAAACCCAAAGGATTACTCCATATACTAGACAATATCAGTTTTCCTCTACATGCTGCCAAGAAGATTAATTTTCAATTTTGTACGTCGAACAATTAATGAGAGACTTAAAAATAATCTTAAAATTATTGTTTATTAGTGGCCATGTAATAAATACCATCTTGGACCACTCAGATTTCATGTTTTAATATCATCCGCTAATTTTAAAAACATGCAAATCCCTAACGTAATCTTACCAAGACTTATCTTCCATCCAACTTGTGATAAAAAAAAAAATGTCAATGACCTTTCACCATCAAGGTCACAAATATTGATCCCTCATTAATATTCATGAGTTGTAAAACGTCAATATTAGTCTGTCAGTGTAATTTAATATTGCGTGATTGAATTGTCTATGAATAACGTGGCTGGATCATTACAAATTACACACATGATGGATGTACAGGCCCCAGTACTGGCCTAGCAGAGTCTCGCAACACTAGCATAGGTAGAGGGAACTAGTCATTAATTCAATTGATTAAAAAAATACAAAGTACAATATTTTCATGAAAATGCATTAAACATTATTGATAGTTCCTACGTCATCGTAAAAGAAGGATAAAGGGGTTATTCTGAAATGTTTAAATTAAATAATGGTTGGGAATTTATGGTGCAAGAAAGGAATGGAAAAGAGATAATTTGGTCTCGAAAAAGGGAGGGGTAATTAAGACATTGATTTTGCACTTGTTAATTTGTCAAGCTTTGATTGCGTTTTCTTGAACACACAATTACATGTGTGCCACTGTTGTAAAACTGTCGTTTCCAAAGAAACAATTGGAAACGGTGCTGTATAAATACCAACCAATCAACTTATTATCATCATAAAATGTATAGTTACTTATTATTTATATTACTGATTCAACTATTTTGTATTATTAAATAATCAATCACTGGCAGTCAATTCAAACTTCGAGTTGTATAAATGATAGCAAAATGTACTGTAAATAAATATGAATAT